CCTGATTGGGGAAAGGCTGAAATCTTAAATCAGGAATAAAATGTCACAACAATAATATTATAAACTGTGCTTTTGAGAAAAAAAAATCATGCTTGTCCTGCATGCAGGGCTTCCAGTCCCACAATTGCCATATAGAGTGCAAAAGTAGAGTTCCAGAAGTACAAATCCCATTCATTGCAATTGCAATTGATTTTTAACGATAACTGATAAACCATTGAAGACAGACCTACTGTGAGCTAAAAGGTTGTTAATCAATGGTTTTTGCTTTTGTTTAATCCATCAGATCATGTTATTTTAACTTATTTTTTAAATAATTGTGTTTAACATCATAATTCCTGGTGAAAACTACATTACCCATGATTCTGCAAAGAGAATTGTGCCAAGGGAGTTCAATGTGTCCACCCACTCTATACTTATCTATCTATACCTATCAATATATATATATATATATATATATTCACATACTTAAATCAGTAGTTTTATATTAGTCCATCACTTTTAATTCAATTGTCTTTTGCAATGCTTTATGGGACTGTAGATCTTTCCTCTACTAAAAACATTAGGCACACAGTCTTGCACCTTTTGGACTTGTACCTGTTTTTTTGTCTGATTTTCAAATCCATTTTTTGCTTCAAATCAAAGTTTGTAATGGTGTGATTCACCTCGTATCTGGTAGGTGTGGTTCAAGACATAACTCTTTAACAAAGACTTTTTAAAAAGTCATTAGCGGCATAATTGACTGGGCTTTAGATGTGCATGTGTGCTCACTGTAACTACCTTCCCTGAACAGTCTTTCTGTTGTGCCTGCTTGATTGTCTCTAAATGTGTGTGTATTTGTGCTGGTCTGTCTGTTTGTGTGTGAGAGAGTGAGAACAAGAAAGGAAGAAAGAGAGAGAGAAGACATTGTAAGAGATACTGTTAATAGCCTTCTTAATTAGGCTCTCCATTCAGTGTGTGGGTGGGTGCACGCTGGAGACAGCGAGCGGCAGCAGTGTAAGACATCTGACATGGTCCTACTGATCATTAAGTATGTGACAGCGTGCACCTTGTCATCATGACTAATAAACTGACTAAACTACCAATTCTGAAGCAGACAGCAACAAGCACCATGAAGAGTTTCCATATTTAGTTGGCGGCATGAGCAGGTCCCGCGCCAATAAAAACAGCAGATCTGCTTATAATCATAAGACAGGTGAATCAGCATGCCACTGCATCGTAATTAAAGCAAAGACAGGAGGACGAGAGGTAAACAAACACTAATGTTAATTTGATATTTCCACAGTACTTAACAACAACAACAACTATATACAGTATTATACAGAAAAACTTTAAAGACATTAACCACTAATACTTTGTGAAAATGCATAATTGAAGTTGCAGATACTAAGGTATTAATAATCTGTCTCTTGAGGGTTGACATCATAACATGAGAAGACGGTCAAGTTTACATCCTCACATCTAACTCATTTATACAATAAAAACTATTAATATTAATAATAATAACCAGCATGAATCAGCACTGTTGCTTTGAGTATACTCAATAATTTATATATTTAATATTCCATATCCATAACTACAACACAACATAGGCTCATCAGAAAAAAGAGCTTCTACCAACTTATTTTCAAAACTCCAAAAAACGTATAGGCTTACTGTATATACATGTAATTCGCTGCAGTAAAACTTTAACACCAACATTTCTTATTCATTTTAACACAAATTATGATTACGGGGCAGATTATCAAGTAATAAAGGTTTATTCTTACATTCTGTGAAACACAAGGCACGATAAAAAAGGCACTTGCCGAACCAAACTAAAATGGCATGGTTTCTTCAGTGAATTTTTTTCTCACATTTGCTTTTGTTAACACTATCAGTTAGGTTTAGTGTAGGTGGTACGTTATGTTCAAACATGATACAGCGTTAACATTTTAGTACCACTCACCAGACCTTTCCTTTCTGAACTGCCGCGATACTTACAACAACCAACGTAACAGAACCACTTATACAGAAGTCACTTTCAAACCAAGCATCTTTTGTTCTGTGCAGCAAACTTGTGTGAGCAACTTGAACCCGATGCGAAATGTAAATGCGGAAATCTTTCAATAGCGTGAACTGCTATTGAAATGACTGGAATTCGCCAGAGAAAATTTGCTGAACAACGGTAAACAATGTGACCGCACCTTAGATGAATATCAATTGAAGAATTATAATGGGTTTCTCAGTGTGGCCATGGCAGATATCTAGCTGAAAATGTCTGAATAATGATTAGTGTAGACTATTATCTCTGAGTGCAGAGTTGTGTTGAATTTCCATCTACTCTCAAAGGAAAACCATCATGTAATGTATGATATACATCACCAACATGTAGGGCTGGACAATAATTCAATATCAATATGTATCGCGATATAATTTTTTTCAATAACGGTGATATGATTTTTAAACGCATTTCCGATATTTCGATATACATTACCAGTGTTTCCCATACATTGATTTATTTGTGGCGTTTGACTTCGTTGAATAAGCATGAGCACTGCACGTTTCAAAATCAAAACGCGTCGCGGGTGTTTTATATGAATGTATCTCTGAAGGGAACCGACTGTCTTCAGAATAGTTTAGATGGCATTTTTATCTGATAAAGTAGCGTTCATGAGCGGAGCTGCTTTGATTACATCCATTACTGGAGAAACCGTTAGTTCCACCGCTCTCACAGCGCCTCCTGCTGGCACACATCTGTTGTGGCCGTTCTTGGCCGTTTTTATGAGGCTTTTTTAATAGTGTTCATATCGATATCGGAATTATATCGTATCGACCGAAATTAAGAAATATATCGTGATACAAATTTTGGCCATATCGTCCAGCCCTACCAACATGTATGATATGACTGACCAGTGCACCTTTTATTGAGAAAACCAAATCTTGAGATGATTAAATGATTAATAAAATCCATTAATTCTGCCAATCAAATTCTTCTTGTTATCTGCAGAACTATAACAACGAGGAATATACAGTGTAACAAAAACTCAATTGTATATCTAAGGAAACCTGCTGGTTCTTGATGTATTGTCTCACATGAGTCTTATCTGTGAGGACACAACATCGGCTGGAGAATAACTTCCCACAGAGACTCTTGTCCCAAGGCACTGGCTCCGAAGACAATAGCAGCAAGCAAACAAGCCCCTGGGGGCACAACCAAATAAGACAGACTTGTTTTTGACCTTAGATTGTATGAAATGAAACTCACAGTGAGTCTTAAAATGAGGCGGAGCTGAAATTCAAACAATATGGAATGTACTGGCTCTCAAATATCCACCTGACAATTGTAAATTCTCCAAGAAGCTACTATATATGATAAACATTTCTGAATAAGGCACACATGGATATGATGAACACTCATAAATTATTCAAGATTCTGACATAAAAGACAACTTCATTCTGTCAGAGATCTGCCTTTGATTCCAAGCCAGGAGAAAATGCCTCAAACACCAAGTCTCAATCTCTCAAACATTGTGCTAATGTGGTACAGCTGCCTCTTTGTTAGTTTTTGAGATTAAAGAACTTTGGAGCTTTCAGAAACTTGGTTTTGACTTATATTTGATAAGCAAAATGTCTTGAACTAATATTAGACAGAAGCATGTTTTGCATGCAACTCTACATTGCAATGGAGAGATAATGACAACTAGTCAGACAGATTTCATCATTCCTGAATAACAATAAAGTACTATTTCTCATAGGATCTGAGGGAATGGTATTGATATTTTCACAAGGGATACATACACCCTTATTCATAGAAATCTCTGGAAGCAATGTTGCATTGAATAAACTGTCTTCTACCATCTTAAATGCTTCGATGGTGGTTTTAAGGTTTGTATATTGCCAACAGACCCCTGACATGTTTATGACATCCATTACATTCATACAGCCAACTTGTCAGCAACATTGCCCTGAACTCTCAAAAAACATCTGGATTTATGCATCTTTATGATATCCCTAGACAGCAGACACATAAAACGAGCATTCAAAGTTACATAAAGGATATATCTTGGATGTCTTGGATGGTTTTCCTAAAGCCCAATAGTAAACAAGTAGCCTAAGTGTGAGACTCTCATTGTAAAAGATTATCTGGGTGGTAATCTGTTTTGGCCACAGTAACACGCCACCTAAAATGCGCACAATCAAGAGATGTCCCGCAGCCACTTCATCTAAACCAGTTCCACCTCAAATACAGCAAGACTTCTTAAACATACGATAATCTGTATTTTATAACTCCACTTTTCTCTTCAACATGCTGCAAACACAGTCAACAGATGTGTGCTAAAGCAAAGTTGATAGAAGAACATGCTAGTGATTGGAAACATCTGACAAAATACGGTATTGGAAAAGGTGTCAGCAGTGAAAATATGACATTTATGGCTCCTTGTATCTGTAGGAAACTTTCAGAGCATTTTGTAAACATTTCTTTTTAAGGCAGTCTGTTTGATTTTACGCAGAGTGTTGCACATATACAATCATTATTATTTTGATATCATGGTGAAGGCATTTGAGATGTGAATGGTCTCGATTTTTTAGTAAAAATATTGAAAAGGGCATCTCTGCAAGTGCTCAGGACGAAAGGCACAGCATTGTAAACAAAACTGTATGTTTAACACTGTGCAGTACACCTAAAGACGCAACTTTCTACTGTCTTTGTACCGTTATCTACCAGTACCAGAAAAGATGCAAAATTGGTAATGTTTATATCGTCTACATTATATATTTTTTTTTTTTTTTTTTTTGAGATACAGCTCTGAAATTAAAAATTAAAGACTAATTTTGAGTTCTATTGCATTGGAAAATAGGAATAAATTAATTTCCTGATGCATTTTATGTTGATTCAGCTAAGGACTGAATCAGTCATCTCTACTACATGCTACAATTGTGTTTTTGCACAGCCAGAAGAGTGCTGCTCACCAATTCTTCATTTCATCAGCAATCTGTTGCATGTGACTTTGCCCTCTTACCTTTTGCTGTCGTCTCGCCATATCGGTCGGCTGCTTCGCATTAAACGGGTAGGCAATACAGCGCATCACAAAGACATAAAGCTGAAGCCTCTTCTTTCTCTCCTCTTCCTCCCTTTGCATCTTTTCCAAATCATCCTTTTCCTTCTCGATCGCCACTGAGGGGCTCGGGCTCGTAGGTCGGGCATTAGCGCTTCGGCTTGGCTGTAACCCACCAGAGCTTTCGCTGGTCCTGCTTGGAGACACCCGAGGACCACCAGCCTTGGGCGCCACCACCACTTTGCGCTCTTCTTCCACAACCTCATCCGTCTCCTCCTCGCTGGATGATGGGTCCAACATTTTAATGCAAGTTCTTGCTTCTCTGAAATCAAAAGAGACAAATCAAGAGGCGTCTTTTTTAGTAACAAAACATCTGTAACGCACTTCAGAGGACGAAAAAGTACGGAAGACGCTTATTTTTCCACGGCCTACAATCCAAACGCGACATCAAAAGTGTCACTTACCCTCAGCGCGAGTGAAAAAGCTGCTCCAACAGCCAGTAGTCGTCCACCGAATTAAATTGTTGCTGCTTACGTGTTTTCTTCGTTTAACTCTCCGTTTACCATAGCCTGATTTAATGGAAGATAACACGGGGAGGGTCGGAAAAACAATTCACGGCTGCTGTTTTGCTGGTTTCCTCCGGCAGTCTTTCAATTTAGTACCGAACGGTACCGACAATATACTGACAATGAGAGCAGCACGCGCTGAGAGCTGACCGTGGTTCTGAACTGAAGCTGTAGGGGGAGGGGCTCATTGATGTGGTTTCCGTGACAGCCACTATCGCTGTTTCTCTCGCTCACGATATTCACCACGCTTCATCGACCGTTAACAACTACAGCAGTTCCTGAAACATTAGACAACCAGTTTTGTGTTTTTCGTATTAGAGTATCGAACTTTAGGAATTTATCCACGATTTCCTTTTTATTGATTCTACTTGGGCTAATCCAGCTGCGTTGTTGTCTGTTTTTGTGTTTTTTCATACTGGTTTCCAAACCAGTTGTGAAATTATTCCATATTTGGCATCACTGGTAATGAAAACATATGCTAAACAGTAACATTGTATAAAAACAGTAATTATAGTAAATTTCCATCCATTTAAACTGAAATGAATTTATTTGTCATTTCTACTAGATTTTATATTATTTTATGTTTAAGCAGTCACTGGGCCTGTTCCAAAACCCACACTTGCACTCTTTGAACTTGACCACTTGTCTGCATGACATATTTCTGGTATTTAGCCCAAGTGTTAAAATAGGTGTGTAGACCGCAAATGTGTATTTTGATTAGCCTACCCAATAGGACAAACAATTTAAAGGATTAGTTCACTTCCAGAATACAAAATTTCCTGATAATTTACTCACCCCCATGTCCTCCAAGATGTCCATGTCTTTCTTTCTTCAGTTGCAACGAAATTAAGGTTTTTGAGGAAAACATTCCAGGATTTGTCTCCATATAATGGTGGCCCACGGGTTGAAGGTCCAAATTGCGGTTTCAGTGCAGCTTCGAAGGGCTCTACACAATCCCAGTCGAGGAATAATTGTCTTAAAAAAAAATAAATTACTTTTTAACCACAAATGCACGTCTTGCACTAGCTCCGTGCGCGTCCATCTCATTTTCTGCTCCAACTTCAAAATCGTCTGACATCGGTTTTACCTTTTTTGTAAAGGGCGTTTAACTTTCTTTGCACATTCGCTTTGTAAACACTGGGTCCGTACTTCTGCCTACATCACACGTGACCTTTCCAACGTAATGCGTGAAGTCGAGCTAGTGCAAGACGAGCATTTGTGGTTAAAAAGTATATACATTTCTATTTTTTTTTAAGAAAATGACCAATCATTTTGCTAGATAAGACCCTTATTCCTCAGCTGGGATCATGTAGAGCCATTGGAAGCTGCATTGAAACTGCAATTTGGACCTTCAGCCCGTTGGCCACCATTGAAGTCCATTATATGAAGAAAAATCCTGGAATGTTTTCCTCAAAAACTTAATTTCTTTGCGATTGAAGAAAGACATGAACATCTTGGATGACATGGGGGTGAATAAATTATCAGGACATTTTTATTCTGGAAGTGAACTAATCCTTTAAGTGCTGTAAAGCTTGTACAGAGCTTTATTTAGACATTTAGAACTTCAGTTCTTTAAAATAAACTTCTATTTCCCATGTAACAGACAGCACAATTTAATTGTGGTGCTTCTAAATAAGTGATAAATAGCGCTTACAATGTGGAGGACTTTACATTTTACTACCAAATGATATGTAATATCTAACTGGAAATTTTTACTTCGACATCTTGTGTTTCCAGGGCACGTGAGTTCATTAACATGATGAATGATGGGTATTATGCTTCAGAGCTGCATTGGAGGATAAGAGATAGTGTATTAGAGATAGTGTGGATTTAGATGGCATTAAGGGCACTGGCATTTATCAGACCTGGGTCAGTCATTTTCACTTACTTCCTGTTGCTTGCATGCACTCTCAAGTGGCCAAGACGGCAAGTATTGGCTGATTACAGGTTTAAAGGTATACCGCAGTTTAAAAATATCACAGTTTCAAAACCACTAAAATTTTCCGTTATACCATTCATGTGGTATGGGGAGTTTTTCATGTCAAAGATGGAAAGTGTAGGAATCCCTCAGGTTGTGTGCAGCGTGAAAACTCCCCCTCCTGTTGGTTCGAGCAGTCATTCACCTGTGTGTAGGATGGCCGAAGGAGGTGAACCCCTAGAACACGATCACGGTTTTTTTTTTTTTTTTTCTGATCTATGTTCTGGACTTGCACAAACTGCACTGCGATAATTTTCCAAAATATCATTCTTGTGGAAATATAATTTTTTATTTTAATTTTTTTAATTTTGTCTCTCTATAATGCATATTAAAGTGCAGTGCAGCTTTGTTTACAGCGGTAACCAAGGAAACGCTGTATCGCCGCTGTTCCATAAGCGCCACCTGCGTCTCATTCAGTCCGTCTGCTGTTTTTGTTTCGTTCATTCATGTTTTATGTAGCTAAATTCACAAAGCTAGTCAGAACAGTCTGTTTCGCTTCAAATTGTTTTATTATTAAATTATACAATCTAATTATATATAAAATTATATACAGACATACATGTATAAATGTGTATATATATATAATCAAAGCACACATTTTTGCAAGAGTACTGTAATTAAAAGACAAACTAAAATTGAATAACTTTAATTACAGATTTAGGTTAAATTAACATGCCAGTCTTTGTTTCTTCTTTTTAGGACAGCATTAAGCTCTAGAAGCTAATCAATCATCCACATCAAAAGCTGTAGGTCAGCCCACAATTCAGCAAAAAAAAAAAAAACTACTGTTCCAAATATTTTGTATGTTGCTTAAAAATAAAATATATTGTGTTCAGTGGAAAAAAGTTGTTTTTTACCCAGACATTTACAAATAACACAATTTAGAGCTGTAACCGCAATATAGTGAAACCGTGATATTTTTGGATACTAAATAAAATTACAACACTAATGTGTGTTTACCTGCTTGATTACTTGTACAAGTATTGAAGTTCTTTTAAAAATTGTAATTTTTAAAAACACAGCAGGTTAAAAATGCATGTTGGAGGTATGACTGAAATCTTTTGGTGTAATTCAAGTAATGTTAACCACACACTTTATTTTACTCATAAATGAAAACTCATTTATGAGAAGAAAGTTTCTGAACCCTCTGGGTTGGCCTAAAAATTGACATCATGCCTGATGATTAAAACACTAAAATATTTATAATATTATATTTCGTGCTGGCTAAGCATACTGAATATTAACAAATTATCTGAATGACTCTCAGCTTAATTGCATCTTTTTTTTATGTTAATCACTATGGTCTTTAAACTGTTTCCTACAAAGGCGGTGTTGTTTTTAAAAGCTTTTATGATATGAAAAGAGATTAGATATGTCTGCCTGAGGCAGTTTTTCCAATGTAAATTATATATCTCATGTAGATCTGCTGGATCAGTATTCACTTTTTACTATATAAAATTAATAAAGATTACATAAAAACTATGCAGAAAAAAAAAACGAATCTTTTGTGATGAAGCACACTTACAAAGGTTATTTGTTGATGTGTCAAAAGATGTAAGTTTACCCTGTTGAAAAATAGCTTAAATTAGCCTAAAGGTTTTGCTGATCTAAGATGCTCTCCTAACCTGGCGAACCAATTAAGTGTCCAAAACCTCTCTAAAATTAGCCAAGACAAAACCACCATATTCTTATATTGGTTAAAGCTTTTATAATTTTTAAAGGAAAGCAAAACTAAAAGTTCGTCTAAAAATGCCACATCCCGTCCGTAGTTTAATTACCCTTTACAAGAAAACGAAACTTCGGCCTTTGAACGCAACAGGCAGCAAAGCAGCTTTTTCAAGTTTCGGATACTATTGGATAGTCGGGCGCTTTCTGAGTTTATGTCCCCGCCCACTTTTGCATCAACAAAGGTAGCCCACGTCTCTTTCATAAATCTAGCCTGACTCCGCCCCCTTTCCACACGTTGTGTGTGATACTGGACGATGCGACCTATCCGTGCGCGCCCTCACATATACAAGATACTGAGGTGATCGTATTTCACTACATTTTCTTCTGGCATACCCGAAAGGTATAGAAAAGAAGGTTATAGAGGCCGGTGACGCGGCTCGGATCACATACATAGCGGAGAGAAGCGACAACGTTTCGCTTTTACTTTGTCCTCGATGATGGCAGCTCAGGATTTCAATTTTTTACTTGCGACGGACTCTTATAAGGTAAGAATCAGCTGGCTCGAGCGGTTCAACAACAAACACGGAGACGCATGACAGCACTTTGCCTGTTCTGGCAGTAGCCCTTTGTGCTTCAGTCGTCACGTAACGTTATATGTGCGGATAAAACCAACTTTGACCTTGTGAATCGATGAAATGTAAATGAAACCATTATTCCGAATAATCTACAGATGTGGCTAAATCGCGGCTATTGTGCTTTCTTCTCGTTTTGTTGAAGGGAATCGGTGTAAGCTCGGGTTCGTTTTAAATGCCCCACTCATTGAACGCCGAGCGCGGGAGGCGGGGCTTATGCGAAATGACCTCGTTTAGCTTCGCCGAAGGCCACAGCGCGTGACGTCACGTAACACATTTTTTAGAAAACCACATAGTTTTGTTTAATAATAAAACAACCTTATTCAAAAGGACTACATGTACTGTCCCTGTATGCTTAAATATAATCTAAATAACTAAACATCATAGTCTAGAAATCCAGTCAGTCATTACAGTAACAGTGGACTTTAACCCCACCTGTAAAATATCAGTAATCAGAAGTTACTTGTTATTAACTTTAAATGGAAGTTCTGAGTATATTGTTTTTATGTGAACTTTTTGTAAAGCTGTTGTAAATAGTCACATGATTAGAGCTGTTTAATATCACTTTTAAAGTCTACAAAACAATTTGGTTAAACTACCAATATCACATAATAAGACACTTGCAAAAAAACATTTTTAACCCGATATTTCGTATGCATCTTTTTCAAAATCTATATATGTAATCAAAATCTTTATATTATGTAATACTATGTAATGCTCAAAGCTTCTTGGGAGGTGACTCTAAATATAAAATGTCCTTAGCTGGGTTTAAAGAGGTCTTATGATGCTGCTAAAAAGAACATTATTTGGTGTATTTGGTGTAATGAAATGTGTTTATGCGGTTTAAGGTTCAAAAAACACATTATTTTCCACATACTGTACATT